AACTTCCTATTCATATATTTTAGCTATTTATTAATTTGGGAATGGCTCTTATATTCATAATTATATCTATGCAAATTATAACTTTTTATAAATTTGGCTCAGTTCCCCATGTATTTGAGAAATAAGTCCTTTATCAGAGAAATGTAAATATTTTCCCCAGTTTCCAGCTTTCCTTCTAATTTTGGCTGCATTGATTTTGTTTGTGCAAAAAGTTTTAATTTCATATAATCAAATTTATCCATTTTACATCCTGTGATTCTCTCTATTTCTTGTTTGGTCATAAGCTCTTCCCTCATCCTTAGATCTGATAGGTAATTTTTTTTCCATGCTCCCCTACTTTGCTTATGATATCACTTTTAAGTCTAAATCATGTACCTGTATACTAATGCACTGTTGGTGTAGTTATAAACTGATCCAACTCTTCTGGAGAACAGTTCGGAACTATGCCCAAAGTGCTATCAAACTGTGCAAACCTGTTGACCCAGTGACAGCCCTACTAGGTTTGTATCCCAAAGAGATCACAAAAAAGGGAAAAGGACCTATATGTACAAAAATATTTATAGCAGGGGCAGCTAGGTGCTGCAGTAGGTAGAGCTCCTGCCTTGGAGTCAGGAGGACATGCATTAAAAATCTGTCCTCAGACACTTGACACTTAACTAGCTGTGTGACCCTGAGCAAGTCACTTAACCCTGATTGCCTCACCCCCACAAAAAATAAATATTATATATGTGTATATGTGTGTGTGTGTGTGTGTGTGTATTTAGAGAGAGAGAGAGGCTTTTTTTGTGGTGGCAAAGAATTGGAAATTGAGGGGATGCTTATCAATTGGCTGAACAAGTTGTGGTGTGTGATTGGGATGGAATACTATTATGCTGTAAGAAATGACAAGCAGGATGATTTCAGAAAAACCTGGAAAGGCTTACATGAACTAATGCGAAGTGAAGTGAGCAGAACCGGGAGAACATTGTACACAGGAACAGCAACATTGTGCCATGATCAGCTATGAATAACCTAGTTCTTCTGAGCAATAAAATGATCTAAGACAATTCCAAAGGACTCATGATGGAAAGTACTGTCCACATCCAGAGAAAGAAATACGGAGTCTGAATGCAGATCAAAGCATACTATTTTTACTTTCTTTATTTTTTCATGGTTCTTTTCTTTTGGCCTCTTTCTTCTTTTACAGCGTGACTAATATGGAAATACGTTTTACATGATTGCACATACATAATCTATATCAAATTGCTTACTGTCTTAGGAAGGGGGTTGTGAGGGAGGAAGATAATTTGGAACTCAGAAAGTTCTTTTAAATGAATGTTAAAAGTTGTCTTTAGATGTAATTAGAAAAAAATAAAATGCTATTAAAAATCATGTACCTATTTTGACCATATCTTCATATATAATGTTTGGTCTATGCCTGGTTTCTGCCAAACTACTTTCCAGTTTTCCCACAGCATTTTTTGTTGAATAGTGAGTTCTTGCCCCAAAACGTTGGTGATCCCTACCCATTCATTTTTTAGATGAGGAAATTGAGGTCTTGTGGGGGGGCTGGTACAGTGAATTTGCTCAGGGTCAGCCTAGCAAGTTGGTGGGAGAGCCAAAACCCAACTTTTCTGTCTAATCTCAGATTTGATTTCCTTGCCACCTAAACGTGCTTCTGGTTTGTTCCTTTCCTGCTGAGTTGGTATACATATTGTTAGGGAAATGCCAGATAATGTTAGTAGTAACCTCAGCAAAGTATAATTAGGAAGGTAGATCTGTTATTCCATTATATATCCAAAAACCAAATAAGAATGATTTTTGAATTATCACTATTATTCTTCTGCCCCCTGCTCTCCCCATTCGAGTAGGGGATTAGATTGGGAGTAGATAGGACTGTTGTCTAAGTATGAATGAGAAATGTGGTTTGGCTCTGTCCCACTGCTTACTGGGATTTTCTCTGATTTTTTTGGGGGGGGCAAGACTTTTTCTTGATTATGAATGTGGGAATCTATAAGCAGTGTGAGCTGTTGTTTCAAAACCAAGCACCAAACTGCTTTTCTATTAAGGACTAAATATATCCCAACATCCAGGTTACAGAAGTGACAAGATGTCCTCATTTCTGGCATAAAAACCAAAGTATATGGAATAGCATGGAGAAGCTTGTTTTACACTGTGAGATTTGACATGGGATAGAAAGGCAGAAAGAGACACATGCCCCATTAATGGTGGCAGCTAACTCCCCAGAGTGGAAAGAGGCAAATAGAAGCTGTTGTTAGGGAAGTACAGGGCTACTTAATGTCTAGCATGAGTAAGGAGTCCTCATGACCTGGAGATTTCAACAGACCCTGGCCCCTTGTAACCTAGGAGAGCAATTTCTTCTCCTCTTTCTCTGTTCCCTTGGGTGCTTCATCCTTTTCCATGACTTCAGTTATCACTTCTTTGTAGATGCTCAGACCTATATCCTCTGCTGGAACCTTCCCTCAAAGCTCCAGTCAGTCAGACAAATATTTAAGTTCCTACTACGTGCCAAGCACTGGGGATTACAAAGAAAAGCCAAAACAAGCCCTCAAGGAGCTTCCATTCTAGGGGGGGAAACAACTTGTAAATAAATATTTACAAGATATACACAGAGTACATGGAAAATAGCTCCCAGGAAGGCCCTGGGAACTGGGAAGGGGCTTCTGCAAAAGGAGGCATAAGTGCTTTTAAGACGCATAGGTGAGGGGCCAGAACATTGAAGGCATGAGGGGTGGGGGGTAGGAGGGACAGCCAGAGCAAAGGCACAGAGATGAAAGATGGAATTGTTGTGTTGAGGAAAGGCAAGATGGCCAGCATGAAATGTGGGAAGGGGCCAGATTGTGAAGAGATAAGGGCTTTATATTTGATCCTGAAGGAAGTAGAGAGCCACTGGCATTCATTGAGAGGAGGGAGTGACATGGCCAGATCTGTGCTTGGTAGCTGTGTGGAGGGAGGCAGGGGTGATCACGGAAGGCCAAAGGATGATTAGGGCCTCAGGCAGCAGGGTGGTGACTGTGGGAGTACCGAAGGGGGAGATATGAGAGCCAGGAAAGACGAGATTTGGCACCAGATCGGATTTGAGGTTGACACCAAGATTTCAAACCTAAGTGATCAGGAGTATGGTGGTGCCTTTGACAGCAGTGGGAGATTTTAAAGAGGGAATGGTTTTGGGGAAAAGGCTAACGGATTCTGTTTTTAATATGTTGAGTTTTGAGATGCCTGTGGTACGTCCAGAAGACTGAAGAGCAACAAGAGAGAGTAATGTCATGAAAACCTAGGGAGGAGAGAATATTCAGGAAAGAGGGTTATCAGTAGTGGCGAATGCAGCCATTAGATTGAGAAGACTTAGGACTGACAAGAGACTGTCTATTTGGTAATTAGGGGGTCATCGGTAACTTTGGAGAAAGCCATTTCAGTTGAATGTTGAGGTCGATTTCTGGAGGGTTAGAAGAGAGGAGAAGCAGTGATGGGGCAGGAGAGATATAGGATGATTTCCAGTTGTCTGCCAAGCTTCTCCCCACTGTGTCTAGAACTGAAGCCATTATTTTCACCCCACACTTGCTCTCATGGTGTAATTTCTGTTATGAACTCCTGAAGATGGGACCATGCTGTGAAAAAAGGATGGTCACAGATCCAGAGCTGGAAAGAAGCTGAGAAGTCACCTCAGCCAACCCCCCTACTTTACAGATGACTTTAGAAGTCACCAGACTTGCCTGACCTCATACACATCTTCAGCTTGAATCTAGATCCTCCAAATACAGATTCCGTGCATTCTCTGGTGGCCTTTCTCATCTTTTTTTTCTTTTAAGACTACAAATTAAACTGTGCTAACATTGAATAGATTTCCTGTTTGATACCCTTTAGAATACTTTATTATCCACATTCTACAATTTGTGATCATATTCGTTGTGTTTATAAAGGGCTTGCCAGCACAGTTGCAGAAGGTCTGCTCCTGAATCCAAAGTAAACAGTGTGCTTTGGTCAAAATGAAGTTGCAGTTTCTTTGTTTGGCTGATATCTTCCATCAGAACCATACATGTTCTCCATGTGTGTTCCTTTAGTCCCACACAGTTCCCACACTGGTTTTTTCCACTCGAGTGAGCTGCTGTGGACCATCCTTTGTAAGGTGTGGTATCCATTTCTGTAAGCGTTTCATTTTCCTGGAAACCTTTGGCTTGCTGGAATGGGGCCCCTCTGCTATTGTACAGCCCACGCAGTGGCCCCCAGGTGGAGCAGGACAGATGAAGGAGCACCCCAGCCCTAGCAGTGCCCATCCCTTCCTGGTAGTGTAAAGATCTGCCAGCGTCCAGAAGCCTCTTTTCTTCTCTTCCTTCCTCCCCCTTCCTTGCTCCTTCTCTGCTGTATTTGAAGGGGGCAACTTAAGGGGCTGCTCCACCCCAGCCATGGCTTATTGCTCTCACTGTACAAAAGTGATAGGGCCTTTCTAATTTGAAATAAGTTTTATTTTTATTTATTTTATGATATTTATTTTTATAATTTGTAATTTATTTTATATGTATAAGTATTAAATATTAAAATAAGTTTTATTTTATTGAAATGTTGGTAAGAATAATTATTATTTATTGAAATAAGCTTTATTTAAATAAAATGTATTTATATAGGTCTAACTACATCATAGTCATTTCTGGAAATATTCTCTCAATTGTACTCTCTCCCTTTTAACAAAGAAAAGCTGTTGAGCACAAAATAGCCAACACTGTGACCGTGATCTGAGAATGTACACAAGATTCTGTCCCAGAAGTCCCCTGCCTCTTTTCTTAGAGGAAGAAGGGTGGCTAAGGCCTGAAAGGCCTAAGCCCTGGTCCGTGCGCATGGTGGTCAGTATTCAGTGTCAGAATTACCTTGTTATTGTCTGATAAGATGCAAGGGATCGAGCAAAGGCAGTTTATCTTCAAGGCAGAAATAGACTGGCCTGGTAGTTGGTGGCACTTTGCATTTCCTGTGTTTTCTTACCTATTCATGGATTCCTTTTATTTTAGGCACTGGAAGAGGCTCAAAAAGCCATCCAGCAGCTGTTCGGCAAAATTAAGGATATCAAAGACAAAGCTGAAAAATCAGAGCAAATGGTGAGTGTGGTACTCCTTCGACATTTTTTTTTTTAATCAGTCGAGGCTGGCTGCATTAAATCCAGCCTTGTTTCTTAATGGACCTCGTCCTCCACTTCCTGTCAGCCACGGCTCCCGCTGCCTCCCCCCCCCCCCAGTGTAGAGCCAGCCCCTGGGAATGCATTCCACACCAACTTCACAGGTGGCTGTTTGTCCCTGCCCCCTTACACTTGCAGCTCTTTCCAGAGGGGAAGCTTCCTTCTCTCCCTGTCTTTAAGGTAACGCTGTCTTACAGCTTTTGGTTCATTCCTGCATTTTCCATTGATTTCACATGTTTCTGAGCTGACTGAATATAGTTGAGGTGTCTAAGCCCTTTACAGTCTGGTTCCATGGTACTTCCCTTCACACTCTCTGCATTGCAGCCAGACTGACCTGCTTGTCAGTCCCCAAATTTGGCCTTCTGTCTCTGTGCCTTTGCATGGACTGATCCCCATCCCTGGAATGCATTCCCTCCTCGCTTCCACCTTCTAGAGAGAATTCCTGGCCCCTTTCAAGGCTCAGCTCATGGGCCATCTGTACAGGATGTAGCCTGATTTCTCCTTAGTTGTTACACCTTGCCCTTTCTTCCTCAGATTGTCACATAGTTAACTCATTTGTATACAGAGTGTATCCCATCCCAGTGGAATATAAGTTCCTTGAGGCACAGGACTGTTTTCCTTTCTTCCTTTTTAAAAAACAAATACGTTTTATTTTATCTTCAGATGTGGAATTTTTCCCTCCCACCCTCACCCTGTTAGTTAAAAAGGCAAGAAAAACAAAACCCCTGGTGCCATCCACTCACCCGGTCAATGCTCCCTTGCCTCCAAATCAGCCTTCCCCCACTTCAGCCCCAAGATCAGCCCTAAGGTAATTCTGATTCAGTCCTTCAGAATAACAGTCAACTTTCTGGGCCAGGCCTCATTCAGACTGGGCCAGTGGTTCAGGCTTGGGATTAGAATGTAATGAGACATGCAGCAGGCCATGAAATATTTAACAAAGGGAAGTTTACTCAACCAGAAAAAAAATCAGAAAGGATACAGCATTGATTCAGGTGAATAGACACCCTTTTGTTTCTGTTTCCACATTCTCATTTGCCACAGTACGATTACTGAGCAGAATGATGGGCCTCATGACATTTGCAATGCCACCAGACCTCAGGAGCACCAGCTCCCCATAGACTGGGCTTTTTATGACTCATGTGACACAGAAGCCACACCAGTGTTTCAAACTTTAGGATCCTGAATTGGCCAAAGCCTAAGGATAGCCTCCCTGCCCCCTTGAGGAGAAATCAGCCGTGCCACTATTAAACAGGTGTTGTTCCCACCAGGTGTGGGCTCAAGGCCCTTCAGCATCCTGGTTGCCCTGGATACTTTCCAGCATATCAATATCCTTCTTAAACTCTGCTGCCTATGTGGTCTTAACAGGCCATAGTACAGAGGGATGATGACCTCTTTATTCCAGAAGCTCCGAGGTTGGATTCCCAAAATTGAATGAGCCATCTATCATGGAAAGTATTCAAGCAGAAGCTGGGTAACCAGCTTTCACATGTGTCATCCTGAAGGAGGTTTCCTTTATGTTCTGAAAGGTCTTGGGAGGCAGCATCAGTAGTGGTGGGGCAGTGTCGAGACCTGGTTTCTTGTCACAACTCTGCTCCTAACTAGCTCTGTAGCCTTAGACAAGTCATTGAATATGTGAACCCCACAGAACCTCAATTTGAAACAGAGTCAGCTCTAAGAAAGAGACAAACGAAATCAGGGTTTGTGGGTCCACAGTTTAATTTCTCTCAAGCTGGCTTGACATGCATTGCATGGTAGTTCAATCCAAAGCTGGGTCCCCTAAGGGGACCCTTTCAGAACTGGCTCAATTTGGGGGTTCGGAAGTACAGCATGATATGCCCTTCAAAGAGTAGGTGTTCCCAAAGGATGCCAGTCAAGTGACCCAGGTCACTCAGTCTTGATCAGAGAGACATCTATTCTACCATATCACCTGTCTGGACAATAGGGAGGAATCAACATTCTCCCAGACCTGTCTAGGTAACAATGAACAGGAATAGATCCATTTAGATTACATCTTAATGTCCTTCTAATGAAGGACTGAACTTAGAAATAAAGGGGGATGGGGAAACTGAGTTTCCAAGATAATGATTCCTAAGAAAAATCATTTTTCATAAATCTTACTGTGTGAAATGAGGAGGTTGAGACATCAGGGTGTGGTGCATGGAGTGCCAGGTTTGGAGTGAGGAAACCTGGATATGAATCCCGTCTCTGCCTTTTTATGGCCTGGGTGACCTCATGGAAGTGATTTCATCTTGCTGGGCCTTAGTGAAAGGAGACAGTTGGACTAGAGGGCCTGTGGGCTTCCTTCTAGCTCTAAAGCCATGATGCTCCAATCCTGGATTAGTTAACCTCTGAAAAAGGTTAACTTTTCAGCTCTACAATAATTTGATTCTGTGAGGACTTTTTCCTTTCATCCCTTAGAAGGATGAGCTCTTCCTATGACTTGTTCGCTGGGCAGTGTGAGGAGCTGTTAGTAACTGAACCACAGGAAAGGTCAAAAAGAGAAGTCTTCTTTGGGAGGGAAGAGCATAAATATTTTGCCCCAGAGGTAAGCAACCACTGAATAATAGTTGGAGGCAATCAGTAAGGAATGTGAATTTGTAAAAGAAAAGATGAAGACACAGAATGTCCTCCAGGAGCAAGAACCCAGAGGTTTTGCCTGACGGCTGAAAATGAAGATGGAGACGTTGGCGTACTGTCAGTGCCCTGCCAGAGGACGTTGGATGAACCCAGAGGACTGTGGTTGGGCAGTGGCCCTGTCCGGCCGAGCTGCCAGGGACCACCAAGGTCTCTTTTCTCAGTCTCCTTTCCATCAGCCTTCTGATTTCAATTTGTTGTCCCTGTCAGTGTTCTGGCTGAGGTGGGAGTGCTCTGACTCTGAACAGGCTGTTTTTTAAGCAGACACAGCTCTCATTAGAGAGCTTATTTACTAAGAAGCACTCTTCTGTGGTGAAGGGTGCCCTTCAGGCCAGAGTCAGGCTCTTTCCCAGATAGACAGCACTCAAAGGAATTAATAAATGACCTGATACTTACTATGAGTGTAACCTTGGGTAAGTCGCTTCATCTCCTTGGGCCTCGGTTTCCTCTAATGGTAAAATGAGGTAGTTGACCTCTGAGGTCCTGCCAGTGCTAGGACTCTGAGACTAGGCTTCTGTGATAAATTCTCTTTGACAAAATAATCTTATGTCTGCTGGTTTAGTGAAGGTTGGTCTGCTAAGGGCCAAGTCAACGCCAGCTTACTCAACAAACTGACAAGCCAGTGGAGCAGAAATGCCCCTGAGGGAAAATACCGTCCATCCTCACAACCACATCTGACGATCTGGGGCTCTCCCCCAGTTATCCTTTCTTCTGTCTGACTTCCTGTTTGAGCTTAGTACGAGTGAAAGGCTCCCTGGTGACTTGTTTTTGGGGAGGAGGATTCTCAGTCAGAAGATGGGAAACCAAGTTGTAACCTAGACCAAGTTGTTACTAAAACATTGTCCTGCCCCCAGATTTCTGTGCCTTGGGTTCTTTTTAACCCCATCAGGGAAGAGGTGGCATCATGAACTAGAAAGGGCTGCTCTGGGAACTTTCCCAGCAAGTATGTCAGAAGGGTGGCCCCAGTGCTGCTCAACCATCCTAATAGCTCTGGGCCAAAGTGCTAGGTTTACTCCATCCCTAAGAGTAATCTCTGTGAGTAATCTAATTTTATAGATGAGGAAACTGAGCCAGGGAAGTAAAGTCTTCTCTGAGATAACTCTCCATCTGCTCCCGCTGTCTTGTGTGTACTCAGTTATTTAGATACCCCATTCTTAAGTCCCCAGGGCTTAGTACTGTTCCTAGCACATAGTAGGTGTTCAGCAAAGGCTTGTTGAGTGACTGATAAGCAGTTTGTCCACGATCACGTAGGGTGTTGATTTGAACTCAGATTCGCTCAACTCCCCAGTGTTCTTTTCAGTACATCTTACTACCCTTCTAGAGTGAATTCACTATCTTTTTAAGGGGTATTTGGATAATCAGCACAATGGGAATAATAATATCTTTGAGGAGCTCTGTCTTCTGCTAGATGCATTTATTGGATAGTTTTCCTTTGGCCTGGCCCAGCCTCTGTTGTCATCTTGAATTCTTTTTCCAAGGGCGGCTGCTCTTGTGCTGAGATGAGTCCTCTCTTCTGTGCTCTCTGATTCATTCTCATTTTGTTTTTCACCATTTAGGTTAAGGAAATCACACGGGACATCAAGCAGCTAGACCACGCCAAACGCCACCTGACCACTTCCATAACCACACTGAACCACCTGCACATGTTGGCAGGAGGTGTGGATTCCCTTGAGTAAGTCACCTGAGCCTCCAGCTCATTCCGTTCTGGGCGTGCTCAGTGTTCTGGGAATGACCCAGCCAGGTTGTGTAGGCCTCAGCCACTTCACGGTGCCTTCTATCCTCTGTTGGCTGGACGTCTCAAGCATCTGTCCACTTGTCCTTCGGGTTGGGGGCTCATTTGTCCCCAGTGGACTGATACTCCGCAGGTAGAAGTGGATTTCGCACTGGCAGTACCCGCCTCAGCATGTTTTCTGTGCACGTCCAGCAGGGTTAGATGTTTGTGTAGTTCATTGTGTGTTTCTCAACTGAGGATTGCAAAGACAGTGCTTCTGAGTTGTGATTCTGCAGCCTGATTTGTGGGACCTTTGGAAACAGCATGAAAAGGATGAGCCAGTTGCAAGCTTGATTTTCTTACGAGTGATTCCAATAAAACTAAGATTCTAACATTGTCATTTTCTTGTCTGTTGAACTCTTGACTGTCTCTTAAGCCAGCAGTGTTTCTGGTGCCTCAGTATAGCATAAAGGAAATCTAGTGGCTCTGCCTACCTTAGGAGGAGGGGGGAAGGAAGATAGAACAAAGCAGGTATGCCGGGGCAGCAAAGTGACGCTGCGCGTAGAGCACCTGCCCTGGAATCAGGAGGACCTGCGTTCAGCCATGTTGCCTATGCCCTATTGGCTCCCTGGCTCATCCTTTTGTGCTTGGTTTAATTGATAACTGGGGGGGATTGGTAGATCCACTTGGCTCCTTGTGGATATTATTCTTCAGTTTCTTCCCAGAAAACTGGTATTTTTCATCCAGTTGAATTGGTTCAAGCAATATGAACTTGACACCTTGACTTGAACTTGATACTACTCTGTTAAGTGCCTCGTACAGGGACTAGTAAAGCATGAACCCACGGTTTGGAAATGAAGACTTATTGAAGGATTTGGAAACTGATCATTTATTCCTCCTTGCCAAGTTTTACTGTTGATTTCATGAACACTCTTATATTGACATTGGCTCAGTTGACCTCAGTAGTCACTTTAGAAAAAGATAATCTCTCTTGGCAAGGAATGTTGACTAAAATGTACAGTCTTAGTGTAGTGTATAAATGAATTTTGATACAACCTAGAAAATATTTCTCATAATTAGAGACCAGAATAGGCTTTCTGCTGTTGGTGATATCCTGGGCCTCTTAATTTCTGATTTTCCTTGCAGAGCCATGACAAGGCGGCGACAGTATGGAGAAGTTGCCAATCTTCTACAGGGTGTAGTGAACGTCTTGGAACACTTTCACAAGTACATGGGGATTCCACAGATTCGGCAACTTTCAGAGAGGTAAAATACCATTGGAGGGAATTCTCCTCCCAGTGGGAAAGGCACTTAGGGGATATGTTACAACAATTAACTTTTCCAGTAGTGTAAAGTCTTCCATGTTCCCCATGGGTCTGTCCTCAGCCTGCTTCTCTTCTGTCTATACTCTTCCTTTGCCCTTTCATTCCCTTCCATGGCTTCAGCTTCCACCTCCACACCAATGATTCCCAAATGTCTGTCTGACCTCTTTTCTTGGCTTTTTGTAATGAGAGACAGCCTCCAGCTGCCTCCAAGATATGTCTGCTTGGATGTACTTCAGGTTCAACTTGTCTAAATCCAAACTGGTATCTTTCCTCTTCACCCTGCTCTTCCTACTGATCTCAGACTTTTCTCTTGGGGGCTTCTTCATTCACTCAGTCAGCCATGTTTGAAAGGTGGTTGGGGTTCTTTTGGCTCTTCTTTCTTCCTTGTTTTTCATATCCAGTCGCTTGCCTTTCTCATTGATTCTACTTCTGTAACATCTCAGAAGTCCCTTCCCTATTCTCTACTCTTCCTGCCACCCTCCCTCTCCATCTTAGGACAGACTCCCATTACTGTTGCCTACTAACAGGTCTTCCCACCGTCATTCTTATCTCCCTGCAGGCCGTGCTGCTGTCAAAATAAACTTCTTTACATTGCTTAAAACTCTTCAGTGACCTTTCCTGGCCTTCTTTGCCTGGCATTCAGGCCCTTGGCTTTCTGGCATTACCTGTCGTTTATCTCTGGGTTATTCTGCTCCCTTGGGCCACTCACTAGGCTTTACTTCCTCTCTGCCCTTCCTCCTTTTTTATCCCTGTTCCTGGGATAGCCTCCTCCTCCTCCTGGCCTTTGGATCTCCTGTGTATCCTCTTAAGCCCAGCTCAAAGGCTGCCTCGTCCATGAAGCCTTCTAGGTGATAGCCTGCTCTCTTGGACCTCACAGGCACTTTGTTTTAGAACTCCTTGATACAATTATGTTAACCGTTGTTTATTAGCCACTTCTTAGACCCTTGTTAGACTGGAAGCTCTCAGTGGGCAGGGACCCTCTAACTCTCATTGAAAACTCTCTCCCAGTGTGCTGCATTTTGCAGGAGTCAGTGAATAATCTAAACAAGTAAATCGGTGAAGGTACTTAACTTGAATTGTTGTTGTCCAGAATGGAAAGCTGAAGATAATTTGTTTTCTGTTCATTTTGATTGATTACAAAAATTTAAGTAAATGTCGTTTCTAGGTGGTTAGCATTTCGTTTTTCTTTAATCTAATCTTTCTTATTTTCCCAAATTATTTTTCTAAGTGAGAAGGCTTGCTGTGTTATAATTTCCTTTTTGATTTTTACATTATTGTTGGCTTAAACTATGATTGGTTGTACTCAGCATAGATCTAAAGATTGTATTTTTAATAAGCTGGATTGTTAAGGATTAAAATTCCCCAAAGTAACTAGCTGTTATTAAGATTGAGAGAGTTTTAAGGCTTTTGTATGGTTTGACACTTTTTAAACCCTTCATGTACGTCTTTTTTTTCCTTAAAATCACTGCCAAATAGCCTAGATAATCAGATCAATCAATTTATTAAAAGCCTACTAGGGGCAGGCACTGGGCTAGGCTTTGGGGATGCAAAGACAAACTTGAGATAGTCCCTACCCTCAAGGAGCTTCCATTTTATCGATGGAGACATCAGCCACATATATGTTTATACAAAAAATTTACACAAATACAAAGTAAAAAAAAATTTTGGCAGGGATTAGAGACAGGGGAACAATCAGGAAAGACTTAATGATAGAAGGTAGAAGGCAGCCTGTCAGCTGAGTTTTTCAGGAAACTGAGAATTGTAAGAAGCCAAGACAAGGAGAAAGTACATGTCAGGCATAGGACATGGCCAGAACAAGGTCACGAACATGGAAGATGGAATGTTGTGTGTGAGAAATAGCCAGAAGGCCAGTTTGGCTGGACCATTGACCATGTGGAGTAGGGGCTAAGAAGGTGGATTGATGTCAGGTTGTGAAGGACCTTGAACACCAAACTGAGGAGTTGATATTTGATCCTAGGCATGATAGGAAACCACTGGAGTTTAATGAATATGGGAGTGACATGATCAGATAAAAGCTTTAGAAAGTCACTTTGGCAGTGGATTGGAGTGGGGAAGGACTCGAGGCAGGGACGCCATTGCAGAGATCCAGATGAGAGGTGATGAGAGCCAGAGGTAGGGTAGTGGCCCTACTCGTTGAGAAGAGCAATATGTGCGGGAGATCTTGTGGAGGGAGAACAGAGAAGACCGGGCCATCGGGTGAGAGGGAGGAGACAAGGCTGCGCCTGAGCAAGCTTCTGGTGGTGGTGCCCTCCCCTCCACGGAAGTACAGGAGTTTGGAAGAGGAGGGGGTTTGAGGTGAGAGGAAGATAGTAGGACTCTCCTTCCGGGCCCTCTCAGTGTCTTGGGTCGCCAGAGGAGGGCTGAAGCAGTGCGTCTTGCCACGTTTTTATAGTGTATGCCTCCAGTGGGCTTCTTGGGAATCACTTCACTGTCTCCAAGAGGATCCTAACTCCCCAGCTGGAGAAACTGGGGCCTCTGTGGTCCCTGCAGTTTCCAGAGAATGAGATGTCCTTGAGAAAAAAAAAATTAGTGAAACTGACCAATACATCAAGAAAAAAATCTGATATTGCCCATGGTGCTTCACACTCATGGCCCTTTGTAAAAGAATGGAGGGAACTGTGTTCTCATGCCTTTTCTTTAGTGCCCAGTTTCTTCCATACACATTAGTAACATTCAGTTGCCAAAGAATTGTCGGGGTGGCTCTTTCTACTTGCGTTGTTGCAGTCTTTGTGTGTATTGTCTTGCTCTTTCCATACTTCTCTGGATTCATCACATTCGTCATATTCCATTACGTTCATGTACTGTAATTTGTTAATCCATTCCCCAATCTGTGAGCATCCACTTTGTTTCCAAGCCAGTGCTGTCGCAGAAGGGGCTATTATAAAGATTTTGGTGTACATAGAGCCGTAGTTTTGGTCAATGACTTCCTTGTACTCTGTGCCCACCAGGAGAATCTCTGAGTCATAGCGTATGCACGCTTTAGTCACTTTACTTGTATAATTCCAGGTTGCTTTCCAGAATGGTTATATCACTTTGCACTTCCACCAGCAATGCAGTAACGTGCCTGTCTGTCCCTTCAGCATGTGCTATTCCTATCTTTGCCACTTTGCTGTACTGAAATGTCCCGGTTGTTTGGATTTGCATTTCTCTTCTTAGTGACTTGGGGCATTCTTTCCTGTGGTTGTTAGACATTCAGCCTTTTCTGTAGGCTCTCCGAGGAGGCCCTACCTGGGGTCACGTCTGGCTTATTTATGGGGCAGTTATTTATGTTGGAGGGAGGGATCCTTCCCACTTGACTAACTCTAGAGGGCTTTAAGTAATCACCAGAGGCAGCTGTTACTAGAAAATTCCTTAAATACTTTAAGCATCCTTTATTTCCACCAGCACAGATGGAGACCCTTCCACTCTTTAGTAAGTGGTCTTCTGAGATGCTGTAGTTGGCTGCATCCATCCCTTGGTAGCTAGATGTTCTGGTGATGAGCTTTACATCCCCTGGCTGGTCCTCAGAGCCCAGACAGAGAGGTTGCTGCCAGCCCGCCCTGCTCATTAGGGCCTGTCAGAGCTCACACTCTGCTGGCGTGGCCTTTGTGAATGCAGGAGGGTCCTGTCCACACCATGGTGAGGCGGCCACTGGAGAAAGCTTCTGGTGGAGGGTTGGAAAATTGCCTGGCATAGATGGTGTTGGTGACATTTTCTTGGATATGTAGACAATTCTCAGTTATTCCCGTTAATGGATGTTAGGTACACATGGTACGACACATGGGCAGTGCTCCTTGGCAGCTTTTCCCCTGTCCCAGCCGCAGCTCCAGCAGATGAATTTGAGAGAGGCTTAGAGAGAGGTTTGATTAAGACTTTCAGAAGGGGGTGGGGGAAAGGGAGGTCTGTCACTTTGACATTTCTTTCTGTTTGCTTTAATGCCTGTTGCTTAAATGGCTGGGATGAAAATGCAGACACAATTGTAATTAATAGGCAGATGAAAACACATCTTGCGGTAAAGAGGGAAGCAGGGGGTTGGCATCCAGGAGTGAATCTCACTGTCAGCCCTGTTCTCTCCTGTCAGGCCAGGTTTCTGTAGGCCTCTCTAATTGGGGTTTGAGTAATGCCATGGGAGTTTCCCCTTCCTCACTCTCCTATCCTCTGCAGCCCTTCAGCATTGCTATTGTCCATCTCAAACAGACTAAGCTGGTGACGGAACTGAGAGTCAGCAAAAAGTGCTTTGAGAACTACTGAAGGAAGGAGGAAAACCCGTAGGAAACATCCAGGAGGGGTGGCAGCCTCAGGGTCGAGAGGGGAGCCCTGGAGTGTCCACATCCTTGTCCGTTGCCTGTTCACCATTTGTATCTCGGGGGAGCTTAAGTGTCTTGAGGGTACGAGCTGTTTTTAATTTTTATCTTTGTGTGTCCTGGGCTATCACTTTGGCTGGCACATAGTAGGTGCTTAGTAGATGCTTATTAATTGATTGAACTCGGGTCCTCTGGTTCTACACGTAGCACTCTTTCCTCTGTGGCCTCACACTTCTCTGCATCTTCCCTGATTGCCCTAGTGGTTCTTGCTGTCTCTTCTTCAGATTACCCTCTGTTTATGTATCTGTGTCCTTATGTCACTCTCCCACATGTTATCTCCTTGAGGACGGACATTTTTTATATCCCTTGGGCCTAGAGTGTGCCCGGCACATAGGAGGTGTTTATGTTTGAAGGGCCCTGGGGCGGTAGGTTTTGGTTGAGTCACTTTCCTGTCATAAGTCATCGGGTTTGGAGGTGGATGGGACGTCAGGGGCCCCCTCGTTATGCAGGTGAGGAAACTGATACCTTTAGAGGTGAAGCGTCTGGTCCGAAATGACAGCAGGGCTAAGCAGGAAAGCCAGGCTGTAAAGCCAAGGTAGGACTGCTTTCACTGCATGGAGCTGCTTCTCTTGAAAGG